GAAGTCTATATTTAGCAAAAAAAAAAAAAAAAAAACCCAAAACCATAACAAGCAAACATTAATCATACGGCATATATTATAGCTTAAGGCCACAGTGACATTAATTCTGGAAAAAAAAACAAAAAAAACTCCAAGCAGGAAATACGGAAGCATTCCTTATTCTCCAGGTGACCGGAAAGAGCTTCCCTCCCGTCTTTCTTGACATCAAGTTGAGGACGTTCAGAAACAGGTATGCAGAGCTTCAACAGATTTTGTACTTATACTAGGTCCTGGGCTCGGACGTGTTCATATAAATGAAAATAGTGGAGTGTGTTCCGTGGGAATGGCATAATCTTCTCCGCTTTCGAAATGATCGTGGAAGTGCGCAGTTGAACGTTAGGTTTGAATATTTATATAAATGTTGACGTAACAAAACTTAAAACCTGCTTTTCACATGGTCTAATATTTGAAATAAACACGTCTCGGTATAAATAAATAAATCTGTTCTCCACTGTATCTCTCTTTAATTGTAAATGAAAGTGAAACTAAAGTCAGTGCAGATTGCAGCAGAAATGCGCAGATATCACAAAGGGCAGAAAAGTCTTATTTCTACGATTTAGTGTAATGATTAAAATCTGAACTCAAACCAATCGCACAATTGATTTTCTCGTCGTGATCATACTGTAGTTTATTTCTGTCGCTGAGGGTGAACTTGGAACTGTGTCGACGTATCCAGCAGGGGGTGCCCATTCCCATTCTCTCCAAATCCTAAAATAATTTACTGAATCAGTCCCTTCAACAAAACCTTAAACAGTTTTCTTGGTGGTGAAAGCTTCATGTTTCTTTTTTCATGTTTCTTTTTTTCTTAGAGGGTTTTTTTTTGTTTGTTTGTTTTTTTGTTTTGTTTTTTACAACTGCTTGGTTTCTTGAAACCTAACATTTTCTCAAAAATAAAAATGCAAAATATAAAACTCTTCTTAAAATGAAATTTAATGTGACATCACCACAGGGCTTGTCCTGTTTGTGATGAATATAAAAAGTACAAAACCTGACATAAAGTATGAAATAATTTTGTCAAAAATCCACATTCAGATTTTTTTATATGTCATATTTGTGGGTTAGCAGACCCAACACACATTATACAGTATTATAATGTGTATTGATCCATGTTATTTCTTATAATCTCACTTTAAACTCAATCTCCAGGTTAAACCTCTGATAATAATTGGTTTTTGCAAACATTTTCCTCACAATGCTTTTTCATCTCTACTTTCAGAATCGCACCATGCTACATGTGAGAGCTCAACAAGACTTTATGGTTCTGTTTGATCGATGCAGCATGCTGGTTTTCTACACAGCTGTTGTCTTTGTCCTGATACACACATGTAGAGGTAAGTGAAACACATCAGTGCAACAGAATTATTAATCATTTTTGTTATGGATTTCTACAACAATGATTTACTCACAAAAAGTGTTACATCCACCATTTGGGCTAATAATGTAACTGTGTCCAGTCTGAATGTGGAAGCACATGAGCAGTACTGAAATTCACATTTTAAAACTGCAGTCAAAAAACCCAACACAGCTCCTAGTTTTTGAACAGAAAGATTGCTGATTCATCTTCAGCAGTGACGATGATGCTGTCATTGTTAAAGGTGGGGTCTGTCTACACACACCACAAAGAACACAGAGGTGGAGCTGTTATCGAGATGGTGAGCTCAGTCAGGTTGAGTGAAGAAAGAAACATCCAAAAAAGCAGCCCTGTTCCTGTATTTACCATTAAATCCTTTACAGGGAAAAAAAATAGTGGAAGACCATCAAAGCACCTAGCAACACTAGCCAGAGGGTTGTTAGGTTAGACACTGAATTATTATTAAATGTTTAAATCTGCACCACGATTTTCATGGTCTTGTTTTCAGCAGCACAGAAACTGCTCATAGACTTGCTTTTTTTCCATTGCACCCACCATATGCTTCTAAAGACAAAAAAAAAAACCCTCAAAAACCAAATGCATTATTTTATTTCACTTTGACCTTTAACTGTTCTTGAGTTTATTCATTTTTGCATTTGAGATTTTTTTTTTTTTACTTTTTGAACAAGTTTTCAATATGGCAAGAAAATACAATCAAAAGGTTTTTACCTTTTTTGACATGTTTTATACATTGAGTTCATCTTTGAAAGACCTATGTTTTTTTTCTCCTTTGAATAGTTGTTGTGTCTTATAATAGGCAGCCATAGTTGTTACTATTGTGATTTAAATTTCTTCTGACTTCCAGTTTGAAAACTACACTTCAAACTGAACTATGTTAGTTGAACGTTTTGTCACACAGCTCAGACTTTTTGTAGTATTGACTTTGTAACGGAGTTGTGGTCCTAATTATTGCTCAGCTGCAGGGGAGGGGTGGAACAGTGAGCTCAAGGGGTGGTGCCAGTCAGGTTGGAGGGACAGGTAGGGATGATTGATCTAATGAGGTTTTCCCTTACTATCGTGAGGTCGGAGACCAGACCAGTACTGTACAGACCAGTCTGTACACTCCTGTGGGAGTGTACAGACAGCTGAAAAGCTGGCTGACGTGTGTGCCGAACACGGAAGAGTCATATCAGTGAAAAATCAATAAAAACCCATAATGCAACCACAAGAACAGTGTGTCGGGTTGTGAGCAGCTGTCCTATGTAAAATTTGGGCTTAAAACTAAAGTTAGGATCCTTCAAAAACTATGATTTTTAGAAGCTGAACAAAGATGAAAGAAAAACAGTGTGAATGATCAACCTTGGTCTTTAAAAGAGAATCACTGGTTTTTCACACAGTTGACAACAGCACTTGGTAAGCAGGCTGTAAAATAAGTCTGTAAAGTCTCTAAATCTAAGACATTATCGCTGTCTGTTACAGCAGCGTGTGTCACTGGAGATATCATTGAATTTATTTCTTGAAAATTGTATAAACCCTGGTCAATATTTATTGAGGTTGTGGTCCAGATACAATGTAACTGTTTCAGGCACATTTGTTTGCTGCTGTCTTTTACTTCAGTTACCACACGAAATCTTCTCTTTTTTTAGGTCAGTCAGAGGTTATCGGTCCTCCTCAGACAGTAGTGGCTTTGATTGGTGATGACATCATTTTGCCGTGTAACCTGGACCCTGTTATGGATGCTTTAGACATGGCTGTGGAGTGGGCGAGACCTGACCTAAACCCCAGATTTGTCCTTGTGTGGCGTGACAGTGTGGAACTGGAGTCTAAAAAACATCCGTCCTACACCAACAGAACGTCTCTGTTCACAGATGAACTGAAGAATGGAAACATTTCACTGAAAATCTCCAAAGTCAAACTGTCTGATAAGGGAACGTACAGATGTTTTGTTCCAGAACTGAAAAGACAAACTACAGTTAAGCTTGTTGTTGGTAAGTAAACATGTTATCATTTCAAATGCATTTTATTATTTTTTTAAATAGTTGATCTTTCTTTTACATGGCGATTCATAAATTGACACTAATGCTCTTTTAGTAGCAGCACAGCCTTCATCTGTGGAAAAATGTCTTGTGTGCTATTTTGGGTTTGGTAGACTGTTAAACTATGAATGCTACACTACCCATGCCTTGGATCCATAAACTATATATACAATATATATACAAAAAAGATTTTGGCTGACTCACAAACCTCTACAGTACTAGCGTACTTGTTGTGGCTGAACTTCCTTTTAGGGTATTTTTTTGTGCACCTCCACACATTTGACAGAACCATGCTCAGGGAGGGGCGGCCATCTGCTGCAACTGGTTTGGGTGAGAGAAGGAAAACAGGATAAAAATATGTTCCGTTTGTCTTTTTTAGGTGCTGCCTCTTCACCTGCTGCAGAGATTAATAAATCCATCAGTGGAGTGGTGTTACAGTGTGAGTCTGCAGGCTGGTATCCAGAGCCTGAGCTGCTGTGGTTGGACGGTGAGGGAAACCTCCTCTCTGCTGGACCTACAGAGACCCTCAGAGGTCCTGATGACCTCTATACTGTCAGCAGCAGAGTGACTGTGGAGAAGAGACACAGCAACAACATCACCTGCAGAGTCCAACAGAGGAACACCAACCAGAGCAGAGAGACACACATACATGTTCCAGGTAAAGCTCATATATTAGGTAATTATGTGAATTCCCCCAAACAGCTCGACATGGTATTGATATGTGAACTACTCTACATGCTGTTGTCATTTCAGATGACAATTTTGTGGTCATCGGTCCTTCCAGTCCTCCCAGTCCTCCCAGTAATCCAACTAACGACCCAAATATCATTGGTTTGGTCATGGGTGTTCTTGTGGTGCTCTTTCTGATTCTTGCTGTTATCTTTGTTGTGTGGAAGAAGAGACAAGCCAAACTCAGTAAGTCCTTCCCCATCCTTTTTAAGAAAATGAATTAATAATGTATTACCCTCATAAAATATTTAATTTTTCTCAAACAATGAAATCAAATTATTTTTAATCATTTTTAAGGTTGACATGTATCCCTAGTAGAGGAAGTCAAAACTCCACTAACATTTATTAGTATTTTAACATACTAATATATTATAGTATTTATTTTCATGCCCATCAGCAGTAAATAAATTAGCTTCCTTGCATAATGTGAAACATTTTCGGAATTCATCTGTCCCCCGTTTTTTCAATACACAGTCTAGGTATAAAGTTGTGTTTTCCAAAGAAATATGCCTACTTGTTGTGGTAAAAGACATTTGATGGGTAAGCAAAAGATCCCTGATTTGATCCGGGGAAGAGGCAAAAATCCCTGGGCTCTCATCAGGAAACACATTTGGTTGAAAAACTGTATTAAATCAAACATGCGGTGTTACTGGATGTTTTGGCCCCTTGTTAATAAGGGAGCAGGCACTTACCTCTTTTGGTATGAAGGCCTGAAATATAAATAACATGCATGGGTTAAAAATAAATAAAAGAGCACAATGAGCAGTGCAAAACACTGAATGAACACACAAACAGTGGCTCTTTACAGGGTGTTTGTATTTTCTCAGTCATGACTTTCAGGGTGTCCTATGAACCTGAAACAGAAGTCAGTATTTTATATTTTTCATATCATTTAGTCTGACATTGTTCACTTGGTCCAATAAGTGTAAGTTTGGTCATCACAGACTGAGCTGGAGATGTCTCCATGCGCTCATTTTTGTTGCATCATTGTGCATCATCCTGTCCATGAGATGTTACACTAACTAAGAATAATTTTTAGTTAGGTGGATGTAAAAAACAAAACAAAAAAAAACAAAAGCATATTATAGAGATGTTTACTCATATTTGTTACTGTATCTGTGCATTTAAAACAGGTGGTTGTAATCTGTAAACTCAGCACTAGATGTCAATAAATCTTACACACTGCTCATTTATTTAGGTAATGTCTTAAAATTCTGCGAGTGTAATATATGGTTCTTCAGTTTTATCCATTTACAATGAGTAGAAAGAACTCTGCTTCATACTGTTCATCAGTTTCTCCTGCTTCTTTATATGTACAGAAAACAAGAAGAGCAAGGAGAAAGGAGCTGAAACCGGGATTGAGGGAGAAAGTGAACCACTAATGACAGGAAGAGAAGAAGAGAATGATGTGGCCAGCAAAAAAGAGCAAAAACATGAAGATGAAAGAGAAACTAAAAAAGATAAGTTTGTTTCAGAAACAGAGCAAATGAAGGACATCAAAAGTCCACAAAATAGTACAATAAATACATCTACTGTTATTGGTAAAGAGTCTTTGAATATCATAGAACGAGAAAGACATGACGTGACAGAAAGAGAAGAAGAGGATGATGTGGACAGCAGTGGAGAGAAAAACTTTAAAGAGGAAAGAGAAACACAACAAGATGATCATGAGACAGAAACAGAGCAAAGAAAGGACACCGACAGTCCACAAGAAAGGAGAATAAATCCATCTACTGTTAATGACAAAGAGTCTTTGATTAAGATAGAACAAGAAACACAGGACATGACAGGGAGACAGGAAGAGGGTAACGTGGACAACAGTGGAGAGAAAAAGATACAAGAAAAAGAAAAGAAAAAGAAACGGAGCAAAGAAGTGGACACCGACAGTTCAAGAACAAAAACATGTACTGTGACTGAAACAGATCCTCAGTTTGAAATGAAACAAGAAACACATGAAGAAGAGGAGATGACAGGGAGGGGAATGAAAGCTGAGGGGGCTGAAAGTGAAAGAGAGAAAAAGATGGAAACAGATAAAGATTGTATAGAACTTCGTTTATTACCACTTAGAGAAAAACTCAATGGGCCGATAGTGTTAGTAAACAAAGGAAAGACATTTAAACTTAGTTCTTTTACTAAATTGATTGCAGATATAACGTCTTTAAATTCACATCTGACGCCTGATCAGGAACCATGGAGAGAAAAAGAGACACAAGAGCAGCTTGTAGAAAAAAGACAGATGGAGAGAAATGTGGACATGAAAAATTCAGACACTGAGAAATAGAGAGCAGAGGAAAACAGTGATGAAGTAAATCTAAATTCTGAGGTTACAGCACAGAAAGAGAGACAGAGAGAAAGACTGAAGGCAGAACAACAGAGAGAGGAAAACCAGAGACTTCAATCAGAGACACAAAGGGAAAGAGAAAGATGAGAGAGAACTGAAAACAAGGAAAGACAATAAAAACCAACATCACACAGAAGAAGAAATACAAGAGATAAGTGAACAAGAATCTCTGCAACATCACAATTTGAAACTATTCAATGGGCAACCAATCAGCAGATACTGCCAGTTCAAACAGAACCACAAGGATGTGAACTAGAAAGTGATGATGATCTTTAGGATCTGATCCAGGTTGATTAACATTTAGGACTTCAGTTTTCACCATTTCCAAAAGACCTCAAGAGCAGCCAGTGTGATTAGGAGAATCAAAGCCCTTTGATTTCTCTTCATATTTTCATATTTATAATCTTATCAGAAGCCATAGAAAAGAAGAAGAGATACAAGGAAACCAGTTCATGGAAAAAAGAGAAAATCTAAAGAAAAACAGCGATTGTGTGATGGAGGAGAAACTGAATTGAAATATACCTCACAGGACCAGGATGGAGTTTCAGCCTGTTCAAGAATCTGTATTATCAACACACATGAGTACCACAGAAAGTTTAGGAGCTATCTAACTTTAAATAACTTTAATTTCCTTTGTTTCTGTTCATAATGACTCTAATGTGGTATTATTGATTTCTCTTTACCAGTGACTGACAAAACACGGCCAGGGAAAAGTCATGACACATCACTAAATGTCGAGAATGAAATTGTTAAACCATTTTCACCATAAAATATTAATCTGGTGAAGTGTCCTGTTTTTAAATCAAAATACAACCTTCTGAACCTATCCAAGAAGAACAAAGTTGAAAATGCAGAATGTTGATGCAGAAAGATGATATTGCACCTGAGAAAAGCTCCTAACAGAAAGGAAATATTAATGCAGACAGACATTGAACATGAGTAATGTTCAGTATAAGGCACTCATCTTATCTGTTCCCCTGAGGGTATTCATCCCTTTAGTCACATCACTATTTCACAGATGAGTCCAGGTGAAGTTAGACATATAAAGTCTATGATTTAAACTGTACACATTTTTCAGTTTGTTTTTGTGACGACAGTAATTATAGCTTGAACCAAGAATAACTGCTCAAAATTGCTTTGAGTATCCTGCTTTCCTGAATGTCCATCATGGTTGAAAATTATCATATTTTTATATGTATGTGTAGTTTTAATTTGCATGTCAGAATGTTGTTTGTCTGCTGTCTTGGGATTAGTCCTGCATGTCCTGCTTTCATTTGTTTTAGTGGCATGGCCCTACACATGCAAATATACAGTGCTGATCTGCTCACCTGTCTTTGATCCCAAATGAAATGTTTTAGTGAAAATGTGGTGAAATATTTGGAAATACTTTTGTATACGATGTATTACTAAATATTGAAAATTAAACTTTGTTAACGTGTGTTTTAATGATTGATTTAGTTTTATGTCAAACTTCCACTTTTTGTGACAGTCACTGTGCTTTTGTATCTGCTTGGATAATGGACAGTAGCTACCATGAATAATTAAATATTAATAATAGTGAGAGCAACAACAAAAACAACTGATAATAATAACATAATGCAAAAACATTTTTCTTCTGGGGTGTAAAAAATATTGCCCATCACCTTCACATTGCATTAAGCAAATGGTGATTTCTAGAGCAAGGTTATTATAGTAAACTAAAATTACTGTTGTGTTGTGCTGTTGCTACTATAATAAATACTGTTAGGTAGGAATGTTGGTTGCAATATACAGGGAGTGCAGAATTATTAGGCAAATGAGTATTTTGTCCACATCATCCTCTTCATGCATGTTGTCTTACTCCAAGCTGTATAGGCTCGAAAGCCTACTACCAATTAAGCATATTAGGTGATGTGCATCTCTGTAATGAGAAGGGGTGTGGTCTAATGACATCAACACCCTATATCAGGTGTGCATAATTATTAGGCAACGTCCTTTCCTTTGGCAAAATGGGTCAAAAGAAGGACTTGACAGGCTCAGAAAAGTCAAAAATAGTGAGATATCTTGCAGGGGGATGCAGCAGTCTCAAAATTGCAAAGCTTCTGAAGCGTGATCATCGAACAATCAAGCGTTTCATTCAAAATAGTCAACAGGGTCGCAAGAAGCGTGTGGAAAAACCAAGGCGCAAAATAACTGCCCATGAACTGAGAAAAGTCAAGCGTGCAGCTGCCAAGATGCCACTTGCCACCAGTTTGGCCATATTTCAGAGCTGCAACATCACTGGAGTGCCCAAAAGCACAAGGTGTGCAATACTCAGAGACATGGCCAAGGTAAGAAAGGCTGAAAGACGACCACCACTGAACAAGACACACAAGCTGAAACGTCAAGACTGGGCCAAGAAATATCTCAAGACTGGTTTTTCTAAGGTTTTATGGACTGATGAAATGAGAGTGAGTCTTGATGGGCCAGATGGATGGGCCCGTGGCTGGATTGGTAAAGGGCAGAGAGCTCCAGTCCGACTCAGACGCCAGCAAGGTGGAGGTGGAGTACTGGTTTGGGCTGGTATCATCAAAGATGAGCTTGTGGGGCCTTTTCGGGTTGAGGATGGAGTCAAGCTCAACTCCCAGTCCTACTGCCAGTTTCTGGAAGACACCTTCTTCAAGCAGTGGTACAGGAAGAAGTCTGCATCCTTCAAGAAAAACATGATTTTCATGCAGGACAATGCTCCATCACCCGCGTCCAAGTACTCCACAGCGTGGCTGGCAAGAAAGGGTATAAAAGAAGAAAAACTAATGACATGGCCACCTTGTTCACCTGATCTGAACCCCATTGAGAACCTGTGGTCCATCATCAAATGTGAGATTTACAAGGAGGGAAAACAGTACACCTCTCTGAACAGTGTCTGGGAGGCTGTGGTTGCTGCTGCACGCAATGTTGATGGTGAACAGATCAAAAAACTGACAGAATCCATGGATGGCAGGCTTTTGAGTGTCCTTGCAAAGAAAGGTGGCTATATTGGTCGCTGATTTGTTTTTGTTTTGTTTTTGAATGTCAGAAATGTATATTTGTGAATGTGGAGATGTTATATTGGTTTCACTGGTAAAAATAAATAATTGAAATGGGTATATATTTGTTTTTTGTTAAGTTGCCTAATAATTATGCACAGTAATAGTCACCTGCACACACAGATATCCCCCTAAAATAGCTAAAACTAAAAACTACTTCCAAAAACATTCAGCTTTGATATTAATGAGTTTTTTGGGTTCATTGAGAACATGGTTGTTGTTCAATAATAAAATTATCCCTCAAAAATACAACTTGCCTAATAATTTTGCACTCCCTGTAGTATAAATAGAGATATGATGTATAAATAACATGTAATATCCATGAGTGCAGTTATCCTTCAATTACGGGATAATATTATTAAAGTTAATATTACATTAAAATTACTGTGCATTTCTCCTTCAGCTTTTAGACCCTCAGACCTTGTAGTACCATATCACTCCATTAGAGCACTTCGCTCTCGCACTGCAGGGCTACTTGTTGTTCCTAGAGTATTTAAAAGTAGAATGAGAGGGAGAGCCTTCAGTTTTCAGGCCCCTCTTCTATGGAACCAGCTTCCATTTTGAATAAGGGAGACAGACACCGTCCACACTTCTAAGATTAGGCTTAAAAGCAGGGGTGTTGCTAGACTCTTCAAAAATTGGGGGCTTAGCCTAGTCCTAAAATGTTCTGTGGTTTCACTTGCACATTTGAAGTTATTATATTTTGTAGTAAAATTAATATAAATGTAAAACATCAAACATTAATTGACTGACATAAGAAAATAATATAATTTCATGTGTACAATAATCTGCCCCCCGATGTTCTTAATAACTGTTTGTTACAGTGTGTAACAATAAAGCGTGAGAGTCTCTGATTCACTGAGTTTTTATCTGAACCAGTGTTCATCTCTGTCTGCTGCAGTGAAGCTCTTCTCCACTTCCTGTTTATTCTCTTGTGTCTTCCTCATTTACTTTTTAAACTGGCTTCTTGTATGATTTGTTGAAGTGTTTAGCTAGGTAATGATTACCAGATCAGCCTGCTTTGCAGCACAGCTACATGGTGTCCCAGTCACAATTTGTTGGACCAATCAGCACAGCACTGATGTAGAGACCTGCAGGTGGGAAGCTCAGCTTTGAATGGTTCTTATGATTGGGGTAGTTTGGTCAGACAGAGACTGAAGTGTTTCAGATGTTACTTCAACCGTGACAGTCATGATAACAAGCTGCATGAATACAGCTGCCCTTTAATAAGCAATTATTTTATGAGACCTAAGGCAAATCAAAAACCATCCAGGTGTTGAGCTTGAGCTAAAACTTTCCTTTTTGATAAAGCATTGTTAGGGCTTAACCTCATGCGCTGTTGGATTATTTCTTCTTCACTCACCATTTTTATACACAACTTTGCATATAAACTTTGCTATTAATCTAAGTTGCTATTAAATTCTGGCTCTCTTCAACATGGTGCCTTTTGTCCTGTCTCCCTCCCCTCACTCAAAACCAGTCTTGGCAGATGGCTGGCCCTCCCTGGGCCTGATTTCTTCCTGCTAAAAGGGAGTTTTTCCTTTCCACAGTCACCAAGCGTTTGCTCCTAGGGGGTCAGATGATTGTTGGGATTTTCTCTGTATTATTGTAGGGTTTTTAACTTACAAGATAAAGTGCCATGAGGCTATTGTTGTTGTGATGTGACACTGTATAAAAAATGAATTGAATTGAATAATTCTAATCTTAAAGTTTTCAACCTTTAATACACAACATATCAAAATGAAGACTGACTTAAATTAGGAAATCGACTCTGGAACACAACTGAAACAAACCTCTCTAAAAGAAAAAAAGAGCTATTTTTTTTTTGTTTGGTAATTATGGCTGCTATCTGAAACGAGGCGCTATCAATGCAGATTTGAAGGTCTTTTTCTAGAAAACGCAATTATGTAGTGACAACGTGAACATTTTAAGAAATTTTCTATAATTTGTGAGTTACTGAATTTACCTCGCATA